AGGATCTACTTCACCACAAACTGCGTGAACAAACATATTACACGATTTACACTTGTGAGCACTTGATGCTGCTTTTGAGCAAACAATACAGACTATGTCTTGTATAGTGCTCTTTACAGGCTCCGTACGAAACTGTGATGGCGATTCTGCTGAAGTTGAGAGTAACTCAGTGATGACTTCTTCAATTTGCAGAGGCGATTCCTTGGAGGTGCAGGGTAACTGAATATACTTCGTGACTGTATCATCAATTAACGGTATAGAAGGCAGTTTAAAATTACTATCGATAAATTCTTGTATTTCTATAGGTGATTCTGTAGAAGCAGAGAATAACGGAATGTCCTCTTGAGTAAGATTTGACTGTGATCTCATAATCACAGTCTCTTGTAAATCTTCTAATTTTTATACTCTTCCAGTCTTCTTCTATTATACCACAAAGTGTATTACATTCGATAAAAACTGAAGAAGACCTTGAAAAATAAGAAGATTCATGCAAAAACTGATGCGCATTCAATTTTAGCTGTAGTTCTTAGTAAAACAGAGGATGGCTTTTATAAACTTGATACTAAAACAGGTATTTTAAAACAATTGTATGCAAAATCTGAATTCAGTGCTTGCAAAGAGAGATTTTTAACGAAAGAAGATGGATGTTCCTGCTGTAGAAATATCTTTACGTCAAACAGCAATAAAACAATCCCTTGGTACTGGGCAGGGTTTCGGGCAAATCTAAATGTACCACAAATAGGCGTGCTCGTCGCAAAAACCAATCGCTATGTAATTAAAAGTGTCACCAATCTTTAGATTGCACTAATAAGTAAGTACAATTTTATCATATGTTTTGCAAATTCATTTCCCTAATTGTAATAATATTTCAAATTGTTTGATTTTTGTATTAAAGTTTTTTTTAATTGATTGATGATTTGATTCAATCAACTAATTTGTTGATTGTTTGATTGTAGTAACTTTATTCTTTAGATATTGAAAATTAAGTAAATAACATTATGTTAATTTAAGCGTACAGAAAGAAACGTTGCTGTTGTTCCAGCAAAGATCTTATTTTAACATTACCAAGTGCCTAGTAGGTAATTCGCAGATTACCTAGATAATCTGCAGATTACCTAGGTAATTTGAGAAATTGAACAATTTTCGCAGCTTTAACGGATCACCCTAGTTAATCTGCAGATTAGCTAGGTAATGTACACATTAACGGATTTCGAGCTTTAGCGGTAACAACTCTAATATTTACATTTTCCGCTCTGCTATAGATAGGGCTATGGGGTTAGAGTCAAAATCGTCAAAAAATCTGCAGACTCTGAATTTTTTTATTTCCTAACTTGTTATGTATGTAAAACGGAAAAGCATTGGAATCGTGTCAGATTTTACTCTCCAAGATTTTTTTTTTTTTTTTTGCAAATATACACGTTTGGAGGCCTCCCGAACAAAAAACAAGCCAATTAAAGGAAATAAATTTTTAAATTTTTTTATTTTCTGTTCTGATATATTAATTAAACAATATTTCGTAATGTATAAAGTTTAAGAAACGAAATTTAAGATTATAGCTTAGGTATAAAGGGGCATTTATTAATGATATTAAATTTTGGTTTTTAATTAGAGCTTGACAGTTTGGAGTCATAGGAGGAATCATGTGTCACATCTCCAGGGTGGTCAAAATTAATGAATATTTTACTTTTTATTCTCGTTCAAAATTTTTGTTAAATAAAATTCATCTCTACCTTCAAAATTCAGCTTTTTGTCATTTTATAATAATACAGTGAAACCCGTTAAAATGTTCTCGCATAAGATGTTAGAATGTGTATTTAGGGCACGATTTAATTCAACCACTTTTACGCATTATAACTCCTGTGTAATAACCTCCCAATAGTATTACATTTTGGACACAGGAGATTTTGAAACGTCTAGAAATGCAAAAACATTCAGAGTTTTTTTGTTTGTGTGAATGTTAATGTCTGGGTGCACGATTTTGTTTACTTTCTTTAAAGCTAAATGACTTCTGTGCTTTCGAAAAGTTTTGAAATTTTGAAGGAAGTTTGAGTATTAGAAAGAACATGCGTAAAGCTGTTATGTCACTAGTAAAGGATACATACAGGTGACCTAAAAATCATTTAACTGTTATTTGTTTGTATTTCTGATAAAGCTTAAAATGAATCTTAAACTGAATTCAAGAGAACCTTCCATTTTTGCAAAATTGCTATAAATAAGTATTTAAGTTAACTGACTTTCGTACACCTTATGTATTTATTCATAAATACATGAAAACACCAAATTTCTAGTGAAATTGTGTGTAATTTTCGCGCATTGTTTTACATTATTTGTAAGAAACTACGTCACAATATGATCTTCGCACACATCACAAAACTCACATTTATTTACTATTTATTACACATTAGTTACTATTATTTATTTATTACAGATATCATTAATGCGTAAGAAAAAAATTATTATAATTTATTTACATAATAATCTCACCTGTAAAATAAACATAATAGTACTTGTAATAATGGTTCTTATATATAACACAGTGAAACTATGGGAACATTTTTATATTTTTGTACTTGGTGACTTGAAACGTCAAAAATGCAAATAAAAATTTATTGTGTTGCAATACAATAGCTTATCAGTAGCTTAAAGTAGCCTTAATAACGATACTTTCAATTTTTTAAACTAAAAACAAGAAAAATTATAATCGATTGAATTGGTTAGCCTAATAAATAAGGATGTAATAAATTAGAAAGCATACCACGTTAGTTTATTACAATTTTATTTATTAGGCTAACTAATTCAATCTAAAGTAATGTTGTGGGCTAAAAGCGTTATTTAATAATAATATTTATATAAAACTTATTGTATATATGGACTTCGAAAGTGTGTCGAAAATGCATGCACAAAATTTTGTTTGATTCTGTATTAAAAAAATTCAATAATAATAATTTATCGTTGTAAAAAGAAACTGTCAAATAAAAAAGGTAAACGAAAAATTAATATTTGATGTCTATAAAAAAACATGTCTGTAGAAATTTCCAAGAAAGGTGAACTTTACAAGTAAAAACAATAGACGAATGTAAGTCCTAAGGTCGATCATCTCCGATAGGGATCGAATTGTCAGTCAGTCTGGGTTCTGATCTTGTACGTTTTGTAACGAGTAGAAACTCAATCGGGAAGGGGGTAAGTTGACATCGACCTATCGGAATGTTCGATCTGAGAGCCAAAAACAAGTTATAAAAATCGCGCAAAATGAAAGACATGAACACTTGGTTCTCTATTCTTGATTCTTAGTTCTTGGTTCGAGGTGTGCCTCTACGGGTTTATGTGCTTTTGGGATTACATAACGAAACTTTTTTGACATCCCAAGATTTTGTCTTCGCTCTCCCGTCCCTTCAAGAATCGTCAAGGTACACTAAGTCGCCGGAAGTCATCTTTACAAGTAGTGTTGAGTGCCTTGGGGCCATCGCTCTCAACCTCTTGATCGTTGGAACATCTGAACTTTTTGTACAACCTTGTTTATAACTTTGGATAGGCAGTACGTCTTATTATAAAAATAGTTGTAAAAAACTTTTATATTTATTAAACTGTTTGACGATTGAGAACCCATCTCTAAGAGTTTTTCCACTCCCGTAGTGACTGCATGACGATCCTGACTAACGCTATCAGTCAGCAAACCTCACACATATACACTTGGGTTTTGCTCATTTAGTGCCGATTTTCAAGAGACATAAATATAACACTAAAGCGAAGCTTGACGATATATAAATACAAATTATTCCTTTTGAGTTTAATACTACTATTACCACTTTTTTAATGAAATACTCTTACAAGTATATGAAATTTCTACAAGTTGCGCTATAAATTGCAAAATCATATTCTTTATTTTTTCAAAGTTGTAAGGTCTCTTAGTCACTTATGCCTCGCTCTTATGCTAACACATCATTGACTGATTACGAAGAAAGTTATAATTAATGTAATAAGGGAAACTGTAAAATTTCCTTATAACATTGGCTGTAAATCGAGTGTGATGTTAACTGTCATCACTTGTCTACTTAGAGCTGCGATTTTTATTATCCCTCTGTTTATTCTTAATTAATATCTTTATACATCTGATATGAAGTTCCTTTTTTAACCTAGGTCATGTTCGGTGATTATGAATAATCGGTATCATTAGTAAAAGAGTATAGTTCAACCAATACATTATATTGAGAGTAAACTGTACTTTTTAATTGATTCGTACAAAATTTAGTTTACTATTGTCAAGTGAAATTTTAAAAACCAGCTGCTTGAGAGAATATAAAAATAATGGTTCTTGACTTTATAACTTATGTAATTACAATAATAATACGTAAAAAAGCAGTGAAGTTTTTAGTGGTCAGGCACAGGTTTGATTGTTATTTTACAATTAAACTGAAAAATTATTTTAATTAATAATTAGATAATAGTAAATAATATATTTCAAATTATACTAACGTGGAAGTGATGTTGAAGCAATATAAAATTGTCAAATCTGTGATAAAAGGCCCACAAATATTTGATAACGAAACCTTTACCATAAATATATTGGATATAACATTTATTATGTGAAATATTTTTCTTATAATATTAAAAAGATATAAAACACTAAAGTAACTTCCATGAGACTTTGCTATATAAAACAATATCTATTTTATATAACGTATTTCATAAGTGACAGTGAGTTGTTGTATCAGTTCGAAGCAATTACTCTGTACAATATGCAGATATGTGTAAATTATTGTAGAATATTATATAAAATAAGTAAAGAGTAAATATACAAATTTAAAACAGTCAATTTTCAGAAAGTAGTTAATAAATTTTATTGCATAATTACATTCAGAAAATCTGGAGGTAAACAGTCTCTAATGACTAAATTGATATAATGTTTAATTATTACAATTTAACGTATGAGTCAAATAACATAATACTTCCTTTTACTATGACGTTGAACAATGCCACACTTGTATATATAGTCTGTATATCAGAAGATTAATGCAGTACATTCAGAAGTTTAGATAGAAACATGAACGTTGCACTCTTGTTCCTGATAACATTATCCTTGGTGTTGATACGTAAGATATATATATATAGATTTTATAGATTATAATTGATATGCTTAACTTAATATAATGTCTTTTTATAAAATATTATTATTGTAGCTAATATTTAATTAACTAAAGAAGAATATATTCACTTTTTATAAAGTGTTAAATATTTACAAAATAATTAAGTGTGTAAAAAACATTCTTTGATATACCACCCTGGCAGAATCCGAGTTGACTGTGATTAAGAATATTTTCTTATTTCTTGCCGAAGGAAACAGTTAAATAAACTCACGGTTCTACCAGATGTTAGAGACGTAACAACTAACTATTAAGATCTGTATGGCTACTCGTTGGCTTACGATTCATAATCACGTTACCATTTGCCATATACGACTTATCGACTATTAAAATTTGACAAATTTGTGGCTATAAAATTTAGCTTAAACATTTAACTGTGTATATAGGATACTTGAAAACGCATTCTTCATTGAGCAGAAACACTTATTCACTGCCTATCTTCGATTAGAATTTAGACCAAGTAATGGCAAGATGTTACATACAATTTGAGGTTTTTAAGCTGTAAACAAACGAGACCAGATATAAAAGGATCGCATTGCTCGTAAAAGTTTTGAAAACTTGATTACGCGGAAGATTTCTGTAATTTTAACTCGAGTTCGTTAAGTGATATCAATTTTTCATATGTACGTTGGTATGCTGCGGTAGTGTTACGAATTTTATTTTACACTTAACATAAATAAAAGACTGTTCATTTATCGCTAGTACAGAAATGGAAGTATAACATTATTATATCTACGTTTTAACATTCAATTATTTTCTAATGAACAGAGTTTATTCGAAAATTAAGACTTAGTACTCAGGGAAGCATGTACTTTGGTTTAATTTACATACTGGTACACTATACAATAGTTCGTTGAGACTTTTGCTGTAGTTTTATATTCAAAGAAATTCAAACACGTATTTTTTGCTTATTCTAATCATGTACTTACTGTTTTCAGATAACGCCGAATCGAAGAAAGAGATTCCGGGCGGTTATCCTATAAATCGATTCGAATGTACTTACGAATGTGCTCACGCTGACACGGACCATATTCGATGCAAGAATTTGTGTAAAAAATTGGGAGGAAGTTGGGGATATTGTTATTGGAATACCTGTTACTGCGAATATCTTCCAGATTCAGTGCCTCAGAAAAATAGTATTGAGGTTTTTAGCTGTGGAGCCACTATCGTTGGAGTGCCTGATACCGAACAACAGTAAAGAATTGTTGAAATAAAATAAAATATATTAGGCCAGTTATCTGTGTAGTTCCTTTTTATATAAACTAAGCTCCCTGTTTTACATCCAGAAACAATTTAAATATTGTCAATAAATTACATTAAAGTGAAAATCATACCGTAATCAAAACTGTTTGGAGGGTATACAAGAATAACAATCTGATCCATAAGGGTTTAATGCATTTTATTATTCATTAATTTCAATAGTAAAAATTTTAAATACAAAAATTCTTTTCTACTTTGGTCGGTGGACCAGTGTCAGGTATACATAGGGACTAATAAGGTTTATGGACTGAGCCCACAAATGTCAAGAGGCCACAAAAATTCAACGACTATCATTATTTTTTAATATTTTTCTATTAACAATGAGGACTTATCGTATTGTAAAAATAGTTATTGTTAATAATACAATAATAATGATGATAATTTATTGTATTACTAGCAGGTAGGCCCGGCATTGCTCGGGCAAAAGTAATGATAGCAAAGATTAAGATTATTACGTCATAGTCAACCTTACCCGTTTTCACAGAATGCAAGAATTGGTTCCCCCTGTTTCCACACTAATTAGAGAATTTTTAGATGGGTCTAAAAATGTGTTCGATTTATTGCAAAAACGAAAAAGACTGTATCTGTGTCTTGCACGTCGCTTTCTCTAAACGATTCTATTGTTACGTAACACTTCCATTTTTAACACTTCTATTGTTGATGGAAGTGTTAAAACTCAATCCTGTTTTTCTCCCCCGTAAAGAAGAATTTCGAAAAATCCCTTCTTATTGTGCGTTCCCGTGACGTATGCTATCTGTGTACCAAATTTCAACTTTTAACTCCTAACCGTTTGGGCTCTACGCTTATTATTATTGTTACTATCAACCGATTTGGACTATATAAGTTATATAGATTTGTTTTATTGAAAATGGGGCCCCATTCGATTTCAATAAGTCCTAAAACTGGGAAAACCTACATTTGCCCCTGCGCTAGACGCTACCATGTGTGAGATTGGCCTGGGGTACAGGGTAGGTTTATTACTCCTGTATCACTTACTAGGCAGCTAGTCGGTAAGACTAGTTCTCTACGATGCAGATCACTAGATCTGATCTCAAAAATTTCATAGGAAGGCGCTAATCGCTAGTAGATCTGAACTGTGAAGTCCAGATGCTCGTCAGGGCTGACACCAGTTAATCAATCTTATTATACGCGGATTAACACGCGTCCGAGATCTGATTCTGATTCAAAATTAGGAGACATTTTAATTATAAAACAAACAAAAGTAAATTTAATGATTCTATAAGTAAAACTAATACAAATATCGAGGAACGAGGGATAAAAATACGACAATTAAGATACACTATATATGCATGGACTTATACTATACCGACGCGCGATTGAGAGAGAGAGCTCACAAAAATCGTTATAAAACATACAACCTGTTTTAGTTGTCGTTCGTCTTCTTCTCTGTAGGCGAGGGACACCTTGGAGTTAAAGTTCATTTACTTCTTTCTATGGGAGATCAATATGTGCACCAAATCCAACTATATTTTCTAAGTGCTAACTCTGGAATTATTCTGTATGTGACTCTTCTAAAGACGTTGGTCATCAGGAGGAAAACGTATGTGGAGTTCGGACACTCTCTATGTCTGTCGATGAACTCCCCGAATTCTGACAAATTCCCTCTATATCTGCTAAATTTCGACCAATCATCGGCCAGTAACTCTTTCATTAGAACGGATGAAAGGGGAATGAATGAGGGGTAAACATTTCGCATCTGAGCAAGATTTTAACCAGATAAGGGAAAGTCAGAGGATGTTCTAACTTCTGTGAAAGGAAGTAACATCTGTTATCTGCGTTTTCCCACGTGAAAACATTATTTTTCTCATCAAAAATGAAGTAATATTTGGTGAAATTATTAATAAAAATTATTAAATTAGACCCAGGGGCCTTACAGGTCTCACACATGTATGAACTCTCCTAAGGTTCAGCAATAAAGAATTGTTATTATTATTAATCACTAATAAAGAATAATAATAATAATGAACACCAAATTTCTGTATCATGCAAATGTATGCCTACTTTTGCGCATTCGCAGTATATTTAAATAATTTTTAAAATATAATTTCGGATTGGCGCTGAAATAAATACTCAATTATCCGATATTGTCAAATAAAGAGCAAGTCTTTTTAAAATGCTACAACTTGCAATATTGAAGTGTTGTTTTATTTACTCTTCTGTATTTCTACATGTGATTGTAAACGAATAAGAATAGGAAATACCATCCTAAGCCTCGTGTAATTCAATAAGAATTCCATCTGAACGTCAAACTTTTAATAGGTCATATCGATACATTACTGTGACATAGCCGGGGGAACTAAAATTCTTCAGAATTTTGTACCACTTAATCGGCACAGATTAAGTGAAATCTGTTTTCAAAGTTTCGGATCGAGAGATCCTGGATCGAGAGATACGACCTTAAGTCAAAGCTGACCTGGAGGGCTTTAGAAACAGATCCAAATTCTGAGATTCAGACCTGCCTTTAAAGGATGTTTTAAAAAATCTGAGTCAGGATGTTGACACCAGTTAATCAAATTTAGATACGCGGATTAACACGCGTTTGGTAATATTATGGATTGGATTTAAATAATTGAGAGACATCTCGTCAGAAATAAAACAGAATTTAATAATACCAAAAACGAACAAAATATACACAAAAATGAAAAGTATTCAATAATTAAAATATGGATCTAATTAAAATATACGTTTAGAGAGAGAGAGCTCACAATTACAATGATAATCATACTACATCACGTTATTATATCTTCTTCTTATCAGAGGTTTATACCTCATTTCATGGAGAAGTCTTGAATTGGCACAATATTAAAAGTTTTTTCTATTTTTCTATTTTAACTCATCATTAACTCGATTGGATACGACTATGGGCGTTGGCCTTCGAGAGAGGACTTGGAATACGTCTTCCTCATCTGAGATCTGGTGGCATACTCTTCTAAGGGCGCTGGCATTAGGGAGACAATATGGAATACGTCTGGCTACTCTGAGATCTTTTGGCGTACTCCCCGAATCATGCAAAACGTTGACTATATCTCATGATTTGTGACCAATCAGCATTTTAGATTCTGTCACGTGAACAGAGGAAAGGGAGATTTATCGAGCGGTCGACAATTTTCAGGGTGGTGAGATTTGTGATAGATAAGGGTAAAACAAAAAGATTTTTCAACTTCCGTTAAAGGAAGTAAGTTTTTATCAGTTTTCTCACGTTAGAAAAACGATATTTTCACACCAAAATGAAAGAATATTTTACTTCATAATTTTAACTTTATAATGAAATTGTTAATTAGACCCAGAGGCTATTCGGATCACACATCACAGATTTTCTATTTTTTAGTACAGTAGCTTTTATATCAATTTTAGTGTGTTATTTCTGTGTGTTTATGTGCAATTCTTAAGAAAGTTACAAAACGCGCTACACAAACCTTCATACAAATACTTGTGAAATTTCTGTCATATACTCTTAGTTGGTGGAAAACATTATCTCTAGAACTTAGATAAAATTTTTACGCCTTAAACCACAGAGCCACGTGAAGGCGATACCCATTTGTAGTAGATTTTTTTATTTCCACAAACTGACTCTGATTGCACGACAGAACAACAATCATGAAATAAAGCTAGATATTTGTCGCTATTTAATTAATTCGGTAACTTAACATCCAGTACCAAACCACCAAATTTTGTCATTAAGTCAAATATTTTTATTTAGTAAAAAACATTTTTAATTTAGATTTATTAATTCAAAATAAAAATACTAANCATTCGCAGTATATTGAAATAATTTTTAAAATATAATTTCGGATTGGCGCTGAAATAAATACTCAATTATCCGATTTTGTCAGATAAAGAGCAAGTCTTTTTAAAATGCTGCCACTTGCAACATTGAAGTGTTGTTTTTTTTTACTCTTATGTATTTCTACGTATGATTGAAAGCGAATCAAAATAGGAAATACCATCCTAAGCCTTGTGTAATTCAATAAAAATTCCATCTAAACGTCAAACTTTTAATAGGTCATATCGATACCTTACTGTGAGATATCCGGGGGTACTAAAATTCTTCAGAATTTTGTACCACTTAATCGGCACATATTAAGTGAAATCTGTTCTCAAAGTTTCAAATCGAGACATTCAATCTTAAGTCAAAGATGACCTGGAGGGCTTTAGAAACAGATCCAAATTCTAAGATTCAGACCTGCCTTTAAAGGAAGTTTTAAAAAATCTGAGTCAGAATGTTGACACCAGTTAATTAAATTTAGATACGCGGATTAACACGCGTGTGAAAATATTATGGATTGGATTCAAATAATTGAGAGACATCTCGTCAGAAATAAAACAGAATTGAATAATACCAAAAACAAACAAAATATACACAAAAATGGAAATTATTTAATAATTAAAATAACGATCGAGAGAAAATATGGATTTAATTAAAATATACGTTTAGAGAGAGAGAGCTCACAATTACAATGATAATCATACTACCTCACGTTACTATATCTTTTTCTTATCAGAAGTTTATACTTCATTTCATGGAGAGGTCTTGAATTGGCACAGTATTAAAAGTTTCTTTTATTTTTCTAATTTAGCTTATCATTAACTCGATTGGATACGATTATGGGCGTTGGACTTCAGGAGAGGACTTGAGGTACGTCTTCCTCATCTAGGATCTGGTGGCATACTCTTCTAAGGGCGCTGGCATTAGGAAACAATATGGAATACGTCTGGCTACTCTGAGATTTTTCGGCGTACTCCCCGAATCATGCAAAACTTTGACTATATCTCATGATTTGTGACCAATCAGCATTTTAGATTCTCTCACGTGAACAGAAGAAAAGGTGATTTATCGAGGAGTCGATAATTCCCAGGGTGGTGAGATTTGTGATAGATAAGAGTAAAACAAAAGGATGTTTCAACTTCCGTTACAGAAAGTGACTTTTTATCAGTTTTCTCACGTTAGAAAAA